TATCGGAATGCGTTGTTAGGGTGTTTTGAGTTGAAATTGGACACCTATTGTGCTGTTAGGTACCATTTTGTACGCTATCACGTGTGAACATCCATGGATTCCACATCCTAGCCGCAAGTAAGACATGGGAATACTTAAACAGTACATATCATTGCTGGTCACTTCATGACACATGCAGAGATGGAAAAAGTCCAACAAGGAGAACACGATACCAAAGTTGACGATAGCTTCAGTTTGTTGGTGTAACGATGCACAATGGCAAACAAGGTACGACGCTATGCCATGCTACTGAAACGTGAGCCTGAGGACTTGGCAGGCGGGGTCCAACACGGAAGCGGAAGCGACTTGAGCTCTCTTCCGTTGGAGGAGTGTCGCGGTTGGCGGTTGGTCGCCTGCTCTGGTACCTGACAGTAGCGCTGCAGGGCGGCCGCCGGCCAAGCTGGATTGACCGTGCGATGGGAAAGCGTCTGACGATCATGACGATGGCGACTATGGTGGCGATGTAGTACTTGTTATATATCCGTAGGGGTTTCACACTTTTGCTGGTTTCACAATGTGTTGGGATCCATCCCGGAGGGCAGATTCAGAAATATTGGGCCGGCTTGGCAGAGGGCACGAGAGCATTGTCCTATCGCTGCATACGGCCCATTTCGGATCGGCGTCAAGGCCAGGAGCTGTTAATATTCATCTCGCGCCGCGGCACAGCTGGGGGTGATATCAGGAGATAGTTGCGTGCGCGGCGGTTGAACTGCATGTCAGAGGCGCTACTGCTACAACAGGTACACATGTTCCTGCATCGGGTTAGCAGGACGTCGCGGCCGCCGCATGTTCTGTGAGCGGGCTAGTCCAGAATCGTGCAACCGCCCGCGCCAGGTGCCTCTGAAAGCTTCATTACAGGTACCCACTACCAACCTACTGGGGGGCAAGTAGCTTTGCTTTGCCTCGGCGGGCAGATCCAAACACCCACCCACCCACCAACCTCTCTCCAATCCATTCCAGGCACTGTACCTGCGTCGCAAGGCGTTCCATTCAACCTGCAATTGGCTCCTTGTCCCCAAATCTTGCCATCTCCGACTTGCTTCTGATCAAAGAGGTACAGCGTGTATGACCTGTCCTACTTTAACCTCGTTTCTCACCTCCCACCCTGGCTTGGAATCACCCACAGCAATCGTCTTGCTCAATTCAACCAGACAAGGCACTTGTGTATAAATTGACCAAGCTGTCTTTTTGCCGCGCAACGAAGCGTCATCGATCCTTATCTTCGCATCGGGAACCTCCACCTCGGATCGCCGTGGCGGAACTGGTTGTAGGAGCTTTTCATCATTGGCTTGATTTCTCTGTTAACGCCAACCGGTGAACTTGAGGCATCACACCCGTCTTATCCTGTGTCTCACGCACGTCGTCTATTTACGTTACGTGCGCCACCTGGGACCAATTGCACATACCAGAAACCACCAATCTCATCTGCTTCGGCCGTAGGTAGCTCATGGCTGCTCCTAACAACTTCCGGGAGCTGGGTCTCTCCGTCATAGGCTTGGGAACCCAATACCCTCCCTATAATCTTACCTCCAAAGCATTGGATGTTTTGAGTGAGAGGTTCTACCCAGAAAGCGCCTCGTGAGTGGTTAGCCTGCTCATTTGATGCCATCTATCGTGTCTGACTTGTCTGTCTCAGTATGAAGAAGGTTCTGTCTATTAATAGGTTTACTGGCATCGACACCCGCTCTTCAATTGGCGAGCCTGACCACCCTCTGGTGAACAAGGAGCAGGCTCCCTCTATCAAAGAGCTGCACGAAATCTTTATGAGTGATGGCGTGCCGCTTGCTGTCGAGGCAGCCCGCCAGGCCATTGCCGAGGCCAAGATTGACCTCACCCAGATCACGCACATCGTCTCTACGACATGTACCGACAGTGCCAACCCCGGCTTTGATCACTTCGTGGCCAAAGGGCTCGGCATCACGCACCAAGTGGAAAAGGTCCTTCTCCATGGCGTTGGATGCAGCGGAGGCCTGGCGGCCATGAGGACAGGCGCCAACCTCGCCCTCGGCCACGCAGCCCGTGGCAAACCAGCAAGAGTCCTCTGCGTCGCTTTAGAGGTCAGCACGACCATGGTCCGCAGCGAGCTGAATAGCATTCATGAGCTGCAGGAGACGAGGATAGGCGCCTGCTTATTCTCTGATTGCGCCAGCGCCGTCATTCTGAGCAATGGCATCGGCGAACCCACAGAACCCGTATATGAGTTGTTGGGCTGGGACCACAAGATCATACCTGAGACAGAACAGGACCTGGGTTTCGATGTTGATCCTGTTGGTAGGTTGCAGCAGTCATCAGATAGCTTGCATATGCTAACTGTTCTTGCAGGATGGAAGGTCATTCTGACTCCACGGGTTCCCAAACTGGCCGGGGCCGCGATAGACCCTTCATTTACCGACCTGATGGCCTCTCTGCCGCAACTGCCCAAGGACTACCAGAAACCTGATGATTTTGACTGGGCCATGCACCCTGGCGGTGCCACCATCCTCACCGGAGCTGAGCGCGCCATGAACATCACACCAGAGCACATGCGTGCCAGTTACGACACCTACATGAACCACGGAAACTCAAGCTCAGCAACAATCTACAGTGTTCTGAACCGCCTGAGATCAAAAGATATGGACGCGCTTGCCCCTGGTGGACGTGTTCGCGAGTACATCGTCGGATGTGCCTTTGGACCTGGCATTTCCGTGGAGATGTGCGTGCTGAAGCGCAACATGGCCTACGGCACCCGAATCAGCGGGCTACAGACGCCCCCAGAGACGGAAAGTGAGACGAGCGACGATGGCCCTGAGGCAGCACTGGACGAATGGGCTGAAAGGCCTGCCGGGGAGACACGAAACGACAGCGACGAGGCTTTCATCGCACAAGCGGTACAGAGCGTGGATCTTGATTAGACAGCGGTTTAAGAGCGAGGGCTTTCAAGTGCAAGAATTCGTCATTATAGAGCTAGATGCTTAAAGATACCACTCATATCGAACAACAACCCAGGCGCCATATTCCCTCCAAACTCGCCGCCGAAGTCCCATTATACACGTCTTCCCGGTTTTTCTTCTTCTTCTTCTTCTTCTTCTTTTCTCCTACCGTCACACGCACTAATCTTTGTTCTGTTACTCGTCCGTCGCGGCATACAGTCGCTGCAAATTGCCGTGGCGGTCGCAGGAGCCAAACTTCCACCAGTCACGGTGAAGCCAATACGTGATGTTACGCACTACCGTGAGAATTCTCTGGCCCTCTTTGGGTGGGACCTTTTCCCGCCATATGCCGTCCTCGTAATTCATGTCGAGGTTGACGGCTACAAATGGCAGGCCGGCGGTCAAGCCCATGGATTTCTGTTTCATGGTAAGAAGGTAAATCAGGAGTACATGTGTGCAGGCGGTGGGCTTACCATGGCTTTCTTACTCTCCTCTGCGAACAGAGGCACCAAGTGTGCCATCCTCTCCTGGCCGTATTTCTCCAGCCCTAGAATGGTCCCGATTTCGGCATTGAGATGTTCTTTCAGCGCAGGTCCGAAGTCGTTAATCATCCTAACCACCTTGCCCCCGTCGAACACATCCCGATGTTGGCAGCATGCCTCGACGTACTTCCCAAAGGCTTCGAGCGGGCCAGTGAACGCCTTGTGCTGCTCAATGTTGATATCCATGATGCCCGCCTCGCCGGCGGCCTTCTCAATGGCGGGGAAGAACTCGGCCTCCTCGCCGCGGTGGTGGATGTCGATGGCGCGGCACCACTGATGCATATAGTTGACGAAGGAGAGGGTGTCGGCCGATTGGATGTGCGGTGCCTGGAGGTATATGGAGTTGAGACCGCGGAATATGAGGTTATGGATTAGAGCCATCTCCGAGGCCATATCGTGAAAGATGGTGGGCTACGAGGTGATCAGCGGAGGACACATGGCTGGGCAGGAGGAGGGGATTGACATGGGTTTCTGGATTGAGCTGGAAGACAGGCGTCTTGATGAGGGTGAAGGGGTGGTCGGCATAGACGTTGGCCCTCGGCCGCTTCTGAGGGAAACAATTCGTCATGGTGACGGCTGGCTCTGGATATCACTTTGTCACACGCTCGAGAGGTAGAGGCAGACAGATGAGAGTGCAGATGCAAGAACGACTACCAAGGCGGACGACATTCGATCAAACTACCTGCACCGAGCTATATACCCAACATTGGACACATCTCATGACCTTGCACGCGCATACACTTAGTAGCTCGAAACTGGTCCAGGCCATTTGATCAAGCTTATCAGAGTGGAAAGCAGGAAAAGAAAGAAGCAAACGGCGTGTGGCGTCAAGCAACTCGCTGAGCTGATCCCTTAGCCACCACCGTTTCGCGCAACGGCTCCCAAAGCTTGTTGTCGCCGGCCGTGCTCGACTTATACCTATCCAATGGCAGGGCGAGAAAATGCATTTGCTCTTCTACGATCGGCCATCTCTCTCTTTATCTGGTGGCTGGCCCAACACCCAAGCGTCAGCACTACTTCTTCTCTCCAAGCCACTTTGCTGCCTGGCTTCTTGGAGACCGAGAAGGGGGGGCGCTGGTGATTTTTGTTTACGAATGGTGTGAGATACGGGGTTTAGGAGCTTGGAGGGCAGTGCTGGGCTGGAATGCGCTTGTGAATACCATGCTACGGGTTGGTGGGCGGAGAAGACTGCCTCCAATTCCAAGTGACGGGCGAGGAGCTACTTCAAGCCAGCCCTTGATCTCTACTTGCCTAGACCATGAAGGCGCTCAATGCAGCATGCCGCCTTGTCCTAACTCTCATACTATCCGGTTCGTCACGACGTAGGCCGCACCTCGGCATGTTGTTCAAAGTAATGGAGTTAACCCAAGGTGTGGAGACTAGCTGGGCTCGATCCGGACCCTGAGGGTTCTGGCGAGGTCCCGCCCTGGCCCTGATCGAAAATCTCACGATGGTGGGAGCGCGAGTGGCTCTTGAGGCTCATTGGCTTGGCCCACAATCAACTATCCAGGGGCGCATGGTTTAGTGGTATAACACTCCCTTAGCATGTTTCCGACAGCTGGATCATTTCTGATCGTAAATATGGGAGAGGTCTGGGGTTCGATTCCCCATGTGTCCAACAGTGTCCAAGGTTCTCTTTTTGCTGTTGTCGTGAGCAGGTTGTGGTTGTGCTCTCAAGACTTTTTTCTTGTCAAAGCGTGCTTTTTGGTGTTGTTCGGTCTTCGGCTTCTGTCGGCATGTTGGAGGGGCTCAGTTCCGCACTTCGGCTGTTTGGCTTCCAACCATTGCCGTTCATTTCTCCCTCGTCCGTACAAGAGGCTGCCATTAGAGCGACATGACATTGCTTCGATAAACAAATTTACCGTACGGAGAAATCGAGAACATGGCCAACGGCATGATTGAGAGCTGGATTCCTCTGGATGGAGACGGCGACTTCTCCATCCAAAACCTGCCCTATGGCGTCTTCTCCGACGCTGCGGACCCGACGCCGCGCTGTGGTGTGAGGATTGGAGATTTTGTCTTGGATCTCAAGGCCTTGAGCAGCAGTGCTGCCGTGGCCGAGTCTCTTTCGTCGCTTCATTCTTGCGCAGCGCTGTTTGCGCAGCCGTATCTCAACGGCTTTGCGGCAGCGGGGCGGACCGTACATCGCAATGTCCGACGGGATCTCCAGCGTATTCTGGATGCTAAGACGGACCTGCCGCAGGTGCTCGAAAAGAACGAGGTGCTTCGACAACAGGCGCTCGTGCCGGTGGCAAAGGTCGTCATGCAGCTGCCGGTGCAGATTGGTGATTATACCGATTTCTACGCGGGTTACCACCACGCCTACAATGTGGGCGTGCTCTTCCGAGGCCCCGAAAACGCCTTGCAGCCCAACTACACACATCTTCCCGTAGGATATCACGGGCGAAGCTCCAGCATCATGGTGTCCGGAGGCTCCATCAAGAGACCATGGGGTCAGATTCTGCCGAGCCCAGGGGCTGCGCCGATAACATCGCCCAGCCGCAAGATGGATTTCGAGCTGGAGCTAGGATGCATCATCGGTTCGCCAAACGCGCTGGGCGAGCCTGTAGACGTGAACCGCGCTGAGGAGCACATCTTCGGCTACGTGTTGCTCAACGACTGGAGTGCGCGGGACATTCAGGCATGGGAGTACGTGCCGCTGGGGCCGTTCAACGGCAAGAACTTCGGCTCAACAATAAGCCCGTGGGTGGTGACAACGGATGCTCTGGAGCCGTTCCGGACCGAGCCGTTGGCCAACGAGACTGCTTTGCAAGATTACCTGCAGGAGGCACAGAAGAGCGTGTTTGACATAACACTCTCGGTTAGCATCCAAGGTGCGTGTGGCTGTGTGTGACGATGGGGATGAAGGCAGTGACTAATTGCAACGCAACCATGCACCCGCAGGAGACGACGATGCTCAGCCAACGACGATAAGCACAACATCTTCGAAAAACCTGTTGTGGTCGTTTCCGCAGATGATCGCCCACCACACCCTCGGCGGGTGCCCCCTGCAGCCGGGCGACATGCTGGGCTCCGGGACCATTAGCGGCACGGAGACAGATGAGCGCGGCAGTCTGCTAGAGATGACAGAGGGTGGGAAGCAGGATGTCAAGCTTACAGGCGGGGGCGGGACAAGCAGGAGCATGCGGTTCCTCCAAGATGGCGATTCGGTTACCCTGATGGGCCGCTGCGAGCGCGAGGGGCTGAGAATTGGGTTCGGATGCTGTCACGGTAGGCTCTTGGCTGCGAGCGAGCGATGATAAGAGTCGACCTAAGCTCGGGGGGGACTTGACCTGTTTCAGGAGGGTTGATAGGATGGGATGGCATAGGGTTGCAGTATGACGCCACGTGAATGCCACATGGTGCTTCTCGACCGTTGGTTGCTTGGCTGAGACAAAGTTACCTACAATCAGCTGACGGAGATGTATATCATGGCAACATGGCCTGATTATAACGGTCCCTGGCGAACTGTGTTCAGCATGGAGCATGTTGATCACTCCGTGTTGGAATGAATAATGAATTATGTGCCGGTGTCTCGCCTTGATAAGCAGCCTCGGACAAGCAATGCCACTCAACTGACTCGCGAGCCCGGCGGGAAGAGAGACTGGCCTGATGTGGAAAGGATGAGCTTGGCGTGCAGCATGCAATGTATCCGTAAATGTACCTACCTACCTCATGTGCGAGTAATAAAGAGGCATGCGATGGGTGGCGTGGACATGATAGCCATAGCACGGATATAGTTTGAGCGGATGCTGGTTCGTCAACGACTCCGGGCGAGACCAATAGGGCGCCGGAGAAAAAGCCACAGCAAGATGGGTGGCATTTCAGCTCGAGTGGGTTCTCGACAACACGAGGCGACGATACGACTTCGCTTATGACTTGAAAAGAGACATCCCTGGCGCTATGTCATGGTGCGGTTAGCAGAGTAATTTCATGCGTGCTTAACGGGCAAAGTACGGAGTCCAGGGCCAGGGTTTCTTCTTTGCTTGCCTCTTTCCGTGACTGCTGCAGCTGGCACAGGGAGAAGGAAGTGGGGAGGAGCACCTTCCCTTCCGCACGGCAGGGAATTTAATTCCCTTTTCGTTGATTATATCCCGTATCCCGACAGGCCACTGACGGATTTGACAGGCAAAAGACTCAGTCACATTAAGATTGCCCATGCTCGACATCTTGGCGGCGGACGGCAATCACTTCATAATTACCAGATCCAGGCAACCTGCCTGTCCACTTCGGCTCAATCCCCAGTCCCCGTCCGGTCCATAATAATTCGATCCAGTTCCAGCCGCCCAGGTACGCAAAAGCTCCCGCCGATGACATTTGTCATAGCTCCCACGCCCGCATCTCCATCTCCGTACCTATCATACCTCATGGCCGTATTACGGCATGATGCTTCACGTGGCCCCCCTGCCCGCCCGCCCGCTGACAGGTCCCGTCGTCTGATGCCATGACAGCCATGCCCATCCATGAAGCCCATGGAGCCCATGGAGCACTGGGAATCGGATGGAGAATGAGGAATGGATACCCGTGGATTTAGCCCATAACATCCCAATAGCCCATGGCAGTCAGCGAGAGAGAGCGCGCGCTGACGACCGGCGGGAATACAGGACCCATGGACGACGGGCTGAGCAAGAGCCCGGAAGCACCAGCAGCACCAACTTTCAGCGGCCGGCGGCGACCAGACGAAACGCGCTGAGGTAGCAACGGGGTGGCATAATAAACGGCCAACCGATAATAGTAAAACTCAGCGCGACCCGGCGACGGCGTCGGCTGAAGCTTCCACCAACCCAACGCACTGCCCAAGGCGAGGACTAGAAGCAAAAGCCACGAGCTTTTTAGCCTTTCGTCAGAGCTCCAGCTGCGGGCCAGAGCCAGCCCAGCGCCAGAGAGGTTGTTAGAGCTCTCCCCCCCAGCTTTGTGCCTTGCGCCCTTGCTGTTGTGCCTTGCGCCCTTGCTGTTGTGCCTTGCGCTTCTGCTTCTTTCCGCGCCACCCGTTTCCATCCCCAATAAACAAACACTTCCCATCTCCTGCTATGGAGCATCTCAACACGCAGGCAGCCGATCTGCGCTACCTCTCCGAGGCACCCGTCACCGTCGACTCGGCTGTCTACGATGATGAAGATACCTCGCCTACCAATGCCAATGCCCACGTTGGCGGAGGCCGCACCGGCAGCATCAGCCAGAGCAAGCCCCAAGGGAGCCCTGGTTCCGCTTCCGCCTCCCACGGAGACAATTCCGCGGCGTCCAATGCCAACAAGAGGAAGTCCATCGACGACGGATCCGGTTCAGTGAAGCAGACGAGGAGCAAGAGAAACAGAGTGAGTCTCCAACCTGCCCTGCACTTCCCTTCCCCTCGGATCACGGCCACAACTCGGCCTTACTCCTCCTCCCCCAGTAATCATGCCTACATGATGCCTCTTCCCCACGATCTACCGACGCATGGCTGACATGCGCACAGTACATCTCCATAGCCTGGTAGGTTATTCATGTTATTATTGGAGTTTTTTTTGTTTTGTACACTCCTATCCCCGTCCCAGTCTCCTTGCGCTCCCCCGCGGCGCACCACTGACTCGGCTCCGACCACGGGCTCAACCAACCTCCCAACCTCCCTGGCGGACCCGAAGCTCGACGTCGAACCGCCCGTATCGTAGGAATTGGCTTGGCTGACGCTCCGCTTCTGTGTAGCAATGAATGTAAACGACGCAAGATCAAATGCAATGGAGAGACGCCGTGCCAACGATGTGGCAATCTCAACTTGGCATGTCTTTACGCCGCCAATTGCTGTTCCAGCAGCTTCAAGGATTCAGACGAGTACAAGCAGGTGACGGATCAGATCCATCGCCTCCATGAAGAGGTCGGCATCCTCTCTCAAGCCGTACGGTCCCTGCAGCAGTCCGATCAGTCCCGCCTGCCAGGCGATCGTCCCTTTAGTGGTACCATGTCTGCCATGGCCCCCTCTCCCTCCCAGAGCAGCCCGTCTCTCCAAAGAGTAGACTCCCAGCCCATGGCTTCTCAGTTCAGAGGCCGCACGAGCGCAGCATTCAATCTTAACGTTGCCAATTCAACCATCACCACCATGGGGTACAAGGTGGCCAACGACGGCGATGAGAACGGTCAAGGAAGCGATGAGGCCGACGTGCAGGTTGCATCAGAATCACACGACCCTCTTCTTGACTTCGACAAGGATGAGATGGTAAGGCTGTGTCGGCTGCACGAGGAGGAGATTGGCATCATGTATCCCGTCATTGGCATACAGACTGTCATTGCCCATGCCAAAAATCTTGCCTCGTATCTCTCCACGGTTCGAAATCAGCGGCCGCTCAAATCCATCAACGACGAGAAAACCCTCCAGCTGAAAATGGTCATGTGCTGCGCCCTCGTGGTCGAGGGTCACGGGCAGAGTGACAAGGCGGCACAGCTTTATGCAAGCATGGAGACTGTCGTGAACCGCATGCTCATGTCGGATGTGAGCGACGTGTCCAACCTGCCGTTGCTAGCGCTGCTTGCAGGATACCGATTTCTATCCAACGACGAGATCCTTGCCTGGCGCGTCATCGGCCAGGTCGCTCGCTTGTGTCTAGAGTTGGGCATCCACCAGAGGATGGGTCTCATGGCAATACA